CAGATATTAAAAAAAAGCTCAGGTCACTAATTATCAGAGAGATGCAAATTAAAATTACAATGAGGTATCACTACACACCTGCCAGAATGGCTACCAGCAATAAATCCACAAACAAGTGCTGGCTAGGAAGTGAAGAAAAGGGATTCCTAGTACTCTACTGGTGGGAATGTAGACTGGTATAGCCACTGTGGAAAACATTATGGAGTTCCTCAAAAAATTAAAAATAGAACAGCTGTTTGACTCAGCGATCTCACTCTGGAATATATCCTAAGAGACCCAAAACACCAATCAGAAAGAATATATGCACCCCTATGTTCATAGCAACCTTATTTACAATAGTCAAGATCTGGAAACAGCCCACTTGCCCATCAGTACATGAATGAATAAAAAAGATGTGTTAGCCCTAGCTGGTTTGGCTCAGTGGATAAAGCGTCGGCCTGTGGACTGAAGGGTTCCAGGTTCGATTCCAGTCCAGGGCACATGCCCAGGTCGTGGGCTCGATCCTCAGTAGGGCGTGAGCAGGAAACAGTCAGTCAATGATTCTCTCTCATTGATGTTTCTATCTCTCTCCCCCTCTCCCTTTCTCTCTGAAATCAATAAGAAATATATATTTAAAAAAAAGATGTGTGGTACATTTACACAATGGAATACTTACTATGTGGCTACAAAAAAGAAGGATCTCTTACCCTTTGCAACAGCATGGATGAACCTAAAGATTATTATGCTAAGTGAAAAAAGCCAGACAGAAAAAGGCAAATATCATAAGATCTCACTCATATGTGGAATCTAATGAACAAAATAAACTGATAAACAAAATACCTGCAGAGGCATGGATGCATGGAACAGAGTGACAGACGGCAGAGGGGAGGGGAGTGGCAGGAACAGGAAGAGATCTACCAATGAACATATATCCATAACCCATAGACACAGACAATAATGTGTGAAGACCTGGGGTGGGGCAGGGACTGGATAGAGGGGAGCAATGTGGAGGGAAATGGGGAACATCTATAATACTGTTAACAATAAAAATAAATAAGTAAATAAATAAAAACATTTTAAGATTACAAAATAAACTGAAGAAAAGGCCTTATTTTCATTTATATTTCATATAAGTACTTCTTCTTGAGAGTCTATCGTACTTGAGAGAATAGAATGCCTGGGTTCATATCCCACCTTTGCCACATCCCATTTATGTGGTCTTGGACAAGTTCCCTGCTTTATTTTCATCTATAAAACAAGCATAAAAATAGTGTCTCTCTTACACAATTGTTGTGAAGGTTATTAATTTATATTTATAAAATAAATTTTGCCTACAATATATGTACTAAGCACTATATATATTTCATTAGCTACTATTTATTGTTATTGCTATTTTGTTGAGAGAAAAACAAGAAGCTTCCTGAGGCATTTATTGTTATTAGGATATTCATACAATATTAAGTGCAAAGTTCTTGGATATTTAACTTTCAGTCATAAAAGTAGGTAACAGTGGCCCTGACCAGTTTGACTCAGTGGATAAAGCGTCAGCCTGCGGACTAAGGGGTCCCGGGTTAGATTCCGGTCAAGGGCATGTATCTTGGTTGCAGGCACATCCCCAGTAGGGGGTGTGCAGGAGGCAGCTGATTGATGTTTCTCTCTCATAGTTGTTTCTAATTCTCTATCCCTCTCCCTTCCTCTCTGTAAAAAATCAATAAAATATATATTTTTTAAAAAGTAGGTAACAGTGAATATGTTTGTTTAGTAACAAAAGGAATGCATTCTTCTGAATTGTAAATAATTGTAAATTGATCCAACTTACCACTACAAAAATTATGTGTTCTTTTGATAGCCAGAGAAAAAAACAAGAATCCAGGTGTAGCTATTTTCCTGATAAGTATATCAACAAATAACAAAATACATATAGCAATTCTAAGTTCAAATACAAAGTGAAACCTGATTTCTTGGACACGGTTAAAGCTATAAGACACCTAGATTTCATATCTAGCCCCCTTATCATTAAGGAAGACCTAAAGGCGACTTAAGTATGGGAAAGATGAATATACTTAATGAATGTGCTACCTTCCAAACAAATAAAACAAGCATGTCAAACTCAAAGGCTAAGATGGGCCAAATAAACAAGGTTTAAGTTTATGTGGGCCACAAAAAAACGAAAACTTTAGGTCTATTTCAATAGAGACTTGCTGAATACAAAGGGCTGAAATAAATGAGTAATCGTTAACATTAAATAATAGAACATTTTAATAAAAATTAATATTTTTCTTGAACATTACCTTACCAGACACTGAATAACTGCACAAATTAATAAGTGTAATGCAAATAAACCTATTTTTCTTGTTCTCCGAAAGCAAAATATTTCCTGTTGCACACACCAAACAATTAAGTACAAGACTAAATGATGTGGCAATCTGCTGCTACAATATTCACTGCTAGTCCTGACGGGTTTGGCTCAGTGGATAGAGTGTCGGTATGCGGACTGAAGGGTCCCAGATTCGACTCCGGTCAAGGGCATGTACCTTGGTTGCAGGCACATCCCCAGTTAGGGGTGTGCAGGAGGCAGCTGATAGATGTTTCTATCTCATCGATGTTTCTGGCTCTCTATTCCTCTCCCTTCCTCTCTAAAAAAACCAATAAAATAAAATTAAAATTAAATAAATAAATAATAAAATAAAATAAAATAAAATATTCACTGCTAGTATTAGTGGAGAGAAATGGTGCACCTGTGCATAAGGGGCGTAAGGGAAATGAATACAACACAATTATAGTAATCAGTCATTAGCAAATGTAGTTTGTTATTAATAATCTACACTAATAAAAGAGAAACATGGTAATTGGAGTACGATCGCTACCCTTCCCATTGGCTAATCAGGGCAATATGCAAATTAACTGTCAGCCAAGATGGCGGCCGGCAGCCAGGCAGCTTGAAACTAACATGAGGCTTGCTTGCTTCAGTGACGGAGGACTCCAACGTTCCCCACTGGCCGCTGCAGGCCTCTGAGCCTGCAGTTTCAAACATTGTAACAAATATAGATGCTAAACAAAACCCCAGAAACCAGCTTTCAGCCCCTCACCGAGACTGGCCAGGCACCCCAGTGGGGACCCCCACCCTGAAGGGTGTATGCCCAGCTGCAAACAGCCATCATCTCCTCATCCAGGCTGGCCAGGCACCCCAGTGGGCACCCCCACCCTGATCCAGGACACCCTTCAGGGCAAACCAGCCAGCCCCCACCCATGCACCAGGCCTCTATCCTATATAGTAAAAGGGTAATATGCCTCCCAGCACCAGGATCAGCAGAGCCGCGAGGCCTCCTGGCACCGGGATCAGCGTGACAGGGGGCAGCGCCCAAACCCCCGGATCGCCCTGCGGCTCTGTGTGTGACAGGGGGCGGGGCCACAACCTCCCTATCCGCCCTGCTCTGTTCGTGACAGGGGAAGGCACCCCAACCCCCTGATCAGCCCTGCTCTGTGCCTGATACGGGGGAGCTCCCCAACCCCCTGATCGCGCTGCAGCTCTGTGTGTGACAGCATGCGGCGCCCCAACCTCCCCCCCATGGGCCCTGCTCTGTGTGTGATGGGGTAGAGCCATAACCTCCCCATCGGCCCTGCCCTGAGTGTGAGAGTGGCGGCGCCCCAACCCCCTGATTGGCCCTGCTCTGTGGGTGATAGAGGGTGGCGCCCCAACCCCCCCCCCCCCACAGGCCCTGCTCTGTGTGTTTTGGGGTAGAGCCATAACCTCCCCATCAGCCCTGCCCTGAGTGTGACAGTGGCGGCGCCCCAATCCCCTGATCGGCCCTGCTCTGTGGGTGATAGAGGGTGGTGCCCCAACCCCCTGATCCGCCCTGCTCTGTGTGTGACAGGGGGCGGTGCCCCAACTCCCCTATCGGCCCTACTGTGAGTGACAGGGGGGAGCTCCCCAACCCCGATTGACCCTTCTCTGTGCGTGACAGGGTACGGAGCCCCAACCCCCCTGATGGGCCCTGCTCTGTGCGTGACAGGGGACAGCGCCCCAACCCCCTGATTGGCCCTGCTCTGTGCGTGACAGGGTATGGAGCCCCAACCCCCTTGATGGGCCCTGCTCTGTGAGAGACAGGGGGCAGCGCCCCAACCCTCTGTTTGGCCCTGCTCTGTGTGTGAGAGGGGGTGGCGCCGCAACCTCCCCATCGACCCCGCCTTGAGTGTGACAGGGGGTGGTGCCCCAACCCCCCAATTGGCCCTACCCTGAGCGTGACTGGGGGTGGCATCGCAACCTCCCAATCCACCCTGCTCTGTGCATGACAGGGGGCGGCGCCCCAACTCCCCAATCAGCCCTGCTCTGAGCCCGACCAGGGGCTGCACCTAGGGATTGGGCCTGCCCTCTGCCACCCGGGAGCAGGCCCAAGCCAGCAGGTCATTATCTCCCGAGGGGTCCCAGACTGCGAGAGGGCACAGGCCGGGTTGAGGGACCCCCACTCTCCCCGAGTGCACAAATTTGTGTGCACCGGGCCTCTAGTTATGTATAACACGATATTGTAAAAATAAAATAAAATAATAAAATAAAGTAAAATAAAATAAAATAATAAAATAAAATAAATAAAATAATAAAATAAAATAAATAATAAAATATTCACTGCTAGTATTAGTGGAGAGAAATGGTATATCTGTGCATAAGGGGCGTAAGGGAAATGAATGCAACACAATTATAGTAATCAGTCATTAGTAAATGTTGTAGTTCGTTATTAATAATTATGTATAACAGGATATTGTAAAAATTAAATTACAAAATTTTTATTAAAACATTTCTTACATACCGTTATGTTGGCTGGGCCACAAAAATATTCATGTGGGTTGCATGTGGCCCGCGGGCCACGTGTTTGACATGCTTGAAGTAAAAGGTCAAACCATTCCCTTGAGAACAGGGAGCAGAAATTGAGATAATTTCTTGAAAGACACTGCTAAAATTTCCAAAAAAGAAAGCTGGCATTACAGAGAACAGAGTCTGTGTTACTGGAGGCAGATAACCTTACCCAATGAGACTAAATTGCTGTAGTTCTCCAACATCACATCTCTGTACAAGTCCCTTTGTTGCAAGTCCAGGTATTCCCACTCCTCCTGAGAGAAGACTACGGACACATCACTGAATATCACTGATCCCTGAAATGACAAACCATATAAAACAATAAAAATTAAAGAAATTTTATTTAAAGATGGAAGAAGAAAAGATGGAAGAGATACTGCAGGAAATGGACCAAGCAAGCAAATAGGCTTGGCTGGAAGCATGTAAGATAATGAGTTAGAAAATCATTGTGCCTGAAGCAGCATGCCTGTGTTCTTGAAGGATTCTGTTGCTACAGATATAACTTCTTATATACTCTGGCATACCTTAATTATTCAGACATGTCTGGGAAAGAAAAAACAAACAATCAGTTTTCCAATTAAATGAAAGATTGTATATAACCCTACACCTGCTATATGCATATCTTAATTATTCAAACATGTCTGGGAAAGAAAAAATCAGTTTTCCAATTGAATGAAATATTGTATATAAGCCTTCTTGCCTGCTATATGTTCCATTCATGAATTCTCAAGAAATGTGAGTCCTTCTACCTTTTCTCCTTAAGAGAAGACTTTTAAAAAAATGTTTCTCTATGATATCTGTTAGAAAAGATCTAAACACAATTAAATTTCTGCCAAGTTCATTGTTTAACCCAATCAAATCATAAGTGTTTTGCTGTTAATGACAATTCTTTAATAAACTTAAAATAAAATTGATTGTGCAATAGTTTATACAATGGATGAGACTTAATCTTCTTCCATACTTAAATATCTTTGGTCTACACAAAATAGTCAAGGTCCTCCTTAATTTTGAGAGTCTACAACTATTTATTTACCTACATGATCTTCTTAACTGCTATCATTTTCAATCCCTTACTGTATGCATTCTTTGTTCCTGAGTTAGAGGATACCAGTTACTGATGTAGAATCTGGATACTGGTGATCCAGATTCACAAAGATGTCTTTCTAGATAAGCACATTCTGTTCAACTACAAATGGAATTCTGTTCCTGGTGTACAACTCTTAAGAGATTCCCAGAGAAGATTCATTATCTCTGCATGCAAGACCCAACCACATTACTAGCCAGTCCTAAAAGCCTCACAAAGTATGAGATCTCATAATATACTGAGGCTGAGGCCAACCAATAGCAAATCTCATATACTTGGAAAACTGAAGTACAGAAAGGGTCAGTTTTCCCATGAGTAGTCAAATGTGCCTATCCTCTCTCATCATCTCACTAGAGATGGTCAAACACCTCCCTCAAAGGATTTCATTTCTGCTCCATAGCATCTCTTAGGAGACTGAGGCATATATAGATGATGCTGAATGATTGGTTCAATGAATACATACACAATAACTGGAAAAAAGAGGACTCATGGGGTAGGCATTATACTATTTAGCCTCATCCCTCACTGATTTTAGAGGAAATGAAAGAAGGTTCTTAAGTAGGAAGTTTCTGGATAAATAAATGTTCATAGGATCTTAAATGACAGTTATTTCCAGAAAGAGAAAGAAAAAGTAACTTACATGGGCCATAGTTTATAAATTCAAGAACTGGTCAGTATTCCTTGGGGTTTACTTGCCTGGAGAACCAGAGTTCACAGAAACCAGAGCTAGGAGGAGGAAAGGGAGGCCATGAGATCAGATAAGTCTCAGAAATCCCCAAGTGACTTAAGTTAATATGTCCCCTCCCCCCTCTTTAATAAACACACATACTGTACACACAGGGAGATTTGAGGGAGTCTGGACTAATCTAATCCCTAGTCATAAATTCCAGGGCTGATAAAGGGCCACTTCCTCTAAAGCAGAATCTTTTTCAAAGCTTTGCAGGCCTGCTTGGATTCATTTGGTACAGAGAGACATTCCTAAGGACCAATCCTGGCAGTCATTACCACTATCAAACTACTGTACTGGCAGCCTGCCTGCCTACTGCCAGAACTTGCAGAATCTTCTGGACTCCTCACTATTTTCAATCAGAATCATCCACATTGCTTTCCTGCATTACTTCATCTCTTTCTTACAACGAAGGTAAAAAAAAGTTATGGATTCATGCTCCCAGCAGGTAGATAATAGCATATCTATTTATCAAGAACTTTCATGTGATTGGTTTTTTATATACATTAGCTATCCTCATGATTACAATGTAATATAATAATTATCCTATCTATGCAGTGGATCAAAAAATTCACACTCAAAGAAGTAAAATCACTTGTAGAAATTCAGTTAGTAAGTAGCAAAGTTTATTTTTCTAACCACAAAATCAGTACTCTTTCAACGGTAGCTCTTGCCTCAGAATTGCTAGTTCCAATTAGAGAAAGATGAGCATGTATGACTCACTAAAAAGTAGAAATACATCAAATCACCAAAAGATATTAAATATCACTTTAAGAGAACTGATGCCCATATCAGCAAGTTTGTGGTGAAATGAACAGTCTAACCTACAAAGGATGTAAATTTAGAAGTATGTACAAGAAATATTTAAACCATGCAAACTCTCATCATTGTGTACATGTACAGGGTGTCCCCCCAAAATGTATACACACTTTAACAGCTAATAGCTCAATTTTGAAAATAAAGTGTATTTTAATGAACACTGTCTTTATAATTATTCAAAGTGCATATACATTTTTGGGGGACATCCTATATAATTATTTTCTTTAATCCCCAAAATAGAATTTCTGAGTCAGAGAGTTTGCATGGTTTAAATATTTCTTGTACATACTTCTAAATTTACATCCTTTGTAGGTTAGACTGTTCATTTCACCATAAACATTATCTCATCGATGTTTCTATTCCCTTTCCCTTCCCCTCTTTCTAAAAATCAATAAAAACATATTTTTTAAAAAAGAAAAATATGCAAAAAATGCTTATTTCAACATTAGAATATTTTTATTTATTGACTGACTTTAGAGAGAAAGAGAAACATCAATTTGTTTCTCCACCTATTTATGCATTAATTGGTTGACTCTTGTATGTATGTGCCCTGACCAGGGATCAAACCCACAACCTTGGTACTTCGGGACAACACTCTAACCAACTGAGCTACCCGGCCAAGGCCTCCACATTGTAATTTTAATTTTCTTTTTGCTTACATTGTTTCATTTTATATGGTCATATATACTCTTGAAACATATTTTTAAAATTTTACAAATAGGAAGCTTTTCTTCAAATAGATGACTTACTTTTTTTTTTTTAAATATGTTTTATTTATATTTTTAAATATGTTCTACAGAGAGGAAGGGAGAGGGAAAGTTAGAAACATCGATGAGAAACACCGATCAGCCGCCTCCTGCACACCCCCGACTGGGGATGTGCCTGCAACCAAGGTACATGTCCTTGACCGGAATCAAACCCAGGACCCTTGAGTCCGCAGGCCGACGCTCTATCCACTGAGCCAAACCGGTTCTGGCATGGTGACTTACTTTTTAAAAATGCCTTGAACTTGGAGGGAAAAAAGCTGCTATGTTTTTATTTGTTTCCAATATGTGAACCAACTCTATGATTCATAAGCTTGTCTATACATGTTAGAGTTTTGCCTAGAAAAGACTGTTTGAACATACCCAACTAATGCTTTATTTCACTGCTGTTGCCTCTCATAACTTTTTAAAAAATAAAATTGAATGCTTTCTTTTTTAAAAAATCATCACCTGAGGATTTGTTTATTGATTTTATTTTTTATTATCTATACTAATAAAACGGTAAGATGCTAATTAGACTGGACATCCTTCCAGACGTCCTTCCGGACAAAGCCATGGTAGTGGGGACCAAGGCAGAGGTGGTTAGGGAGACCAGGCCAGCAGAGGAGCAGTTAGGAGGCGACCAGGCTGGCAGGGGGGCAGTTAGGGGGCGACCAGGCAGGCAAGCAGAGGCAGTTAGAGACAATCAGGCAGGCAGGCAGGCAAGCAATTAGGAGCCAGCAGTCCCAGATTTCGAGAGAGATGTCCCAGATTGGAGAGGGTGCAGGCTGGGCTGAGGGACCCCGCCCCTCCCCCCACCCCGTGCATGAATTTCATGCACTGGGCCTTTAGTTTTTAATATATTTTTTTTATTGATTTCAGAGACAAAGAGGGAGAGATAGAAACATCAATGATGAGAGAGAATCATCGATTGGCTACCTCCTGCATGCCCCACACTGGGGATCGAGCCCACAATCCAGGTATGTCCCCTGACCTGGAATCAAACCATGACCTCCTGGTTCATAGGTCGAAACTCAACCACGAAGCAACACCAGCTGGGCTGTTTATTGATTTTAGAGAGAGAGAGAGAAACATCTATGTGAGAAACAACAATCAGTTGCCTCCCATTCGCACCCCAATCAGGGATTGAACCTGCAACCTTTGTGGTGTACGGGATGATGCCCCAACTTCTTGATCTTGCTTCTGAACTTTTAATTTTAGCCATGATGCCTTCCAAAGAGTTAATGAATCTTCTTGTTCTGTTGGTCTCACTTTGTATCAAAATTATAAGAGTAACTATGAGGATATAAAGCTTATTGTATAAAATCTATTTACCTCCACAGAAATCCCATGGGTTTGGTTATTGTGGGGGGTTTTGGTAGAAAAATGATTATTACTTTTTATTTTTAATTACAATTGACACTCAACATTATTTTATACTAAAGGTCCAGTGCATGGATTCGTGCACTGGTGGGGTCCCTCAGCCTAGACTGTGCCCTCTCACAATCTGGGACCCTTTGGGGGATGTTGGACTGCCGCTCCTGCCTGCCTCTCCTGTTCATCCCAGCACTGCTGCACCTGCCACGGCTCGCACCCAGTCAGTCCCGATGGGGAGAGGCTCGTGCTGCCTGCGTCTGGCGCCTGTTGGTCAACTGAGTGGTGCTCCCGCTGTGGGAGCGCGCTGACCACCAGGGGGAAGTTCCTGTGTTGAGTGTGTACCCCTTGGTGGTCAGAGCACTTCATAGTGACCAGTCAACCGGTCGTTCGGTTGCTTAGGCTTTTATATATACAGATTAGTTTCAGGTGTACAGCATAATGGTTAGACATTTATATAACTTATGAAGTTATCCCCCCAATAAGTCTAGTATCCATGTGGAACCATACAGTTATTACAATATCATTAACTATACTAGAGGCCCAGTGGGCGAAATCACGAGATAGTCCACCGCCCCACCCACCAGCGCACGCCCCACCCACCCACCCACCGCCCTGCCACTCCTCACAGCATTTGAACTCTCTTAAGGGTGGTTGGGAGGGAGTTTCCAATCCCATTCCTTTTCCTCTAATGGTTTTCCTGCCCCCCCCCGCTCCCCCAATGCTGGTCAGGAGAACCTCTGGTCCCCCTCAAAGGCTAATCAGGGTAAAGAACCTTTGACCATGGCTATAAAAGCACCTGTCTAACCACTGAGTTTATTAGGCCACCCGGAATCCAGATGCATAGTTACTTCAAATAAACATTTTTGGGGTGTGTGTGAAAATTTAAGTCTCTGATATTGAGAGGAAAAAACTAGTGCTTTAAAATGATGACAACACCTATTTCAAATATTGTAATTAAAGTATTAAAAAAAAACCTCATATAAAAAGGCTGGGGGGATTCCGCCTTCCTGCTTCCGTCCTGGCATATAGAATTTAAACCTTCTCTCAGAAGTGTGTAGTAGAGCTAAAGAAGAAGACAACAACCAGGGGTCATCCTTCTGAAATTGTGATTGGCTCACTAATCCAGGACAAAGATAGAGATCACAACTCAAGCATAAGTCCCCTTTTCCTAACACCGTTACAAAGATGTTTGACATAAAAGCTTGGGCTGAGTATGTTGTGGAATGGGCTGCAAAGGATCCATATGCCTTCCTTACAACCGTTATTTCGGCCCTTACGCCATTGTTTCTAGCAAGTGCTGTACTGTCCTGGAAACTGGCCAAGATGATTGAGGCCAGGGAAAAGGAGCAAAAGAAAAAACAAAAACACCAAGAAAATATTGCAAAAGCTAAACGACTGAAAAAGGATTGAAGGAATGAACAGGCTCGGCAACCAGAGGAAACTCATTTTGGAAATTATGCAGCTTTGGAAGATTTCTTATCTGGATTTATGACAGTATTTAATAAACGAAGCCTGAGCATATGGAAGAATCATGTTAGTTCTGACCGCTACTGCAGCAGCTTTTAGGCTTCTGTATAGAAGTCTATTGACAGTTATTTATTATGCCAAAAATGCTTTCTAACTGACTTAGTCATTTGCCATTTTGCAGCTTAATACATCCTGTGGAGAAAAAATGACTTTAGATTATGAACTCTACTCAAATACTGGCTCAAAAAGGGTCCTGTTCTGGAGAAAGGAAACTAAGAATGTAAAAATGAGAACTGTCCTGAGGTGAAAAGTATGTTTCGGCTTAAAAAGAGATACAGCATATTAATTAAAAAAAAAAAAAAAAAAAAGACTGAAAATATGTTATTTTACTTTGAAGACAGTAATAACTGAAAATAACAGGTTTCTTTCAGGCCACATCCTAAAAAAGGTAGCTGCTTTTTTATGTCTAAGGCCTATACAAGTCTTAAAAGATCCCTGGCCCTGCCTTCTGAAGATTTTAGGTTAACACGTTTGTCTTAAAAACTGTGAGGTGCCCTGGCTGGTTTGGCTTAGTGGATAGAGCGTCAGCCTGCGTACTGAAGGGTCCCAGGTTCAATTCCAGCCAAGGGCACATGCCTGGGTTGCGGGTTTTATCCCCAGTGGGGAATGTGCAGGAGGCAGCCAATCAATGATTCTCTCTCATCATTAATGTTTCTATCTCTCTTTCCCTCTCCCTTCCTCTCTGAAAGCAATAAAGATATTGTTAAAAAAAAGAAAAACACAAAACTGTGAGGTGCCTAATTTTTAAAAACAACCGGCCACACCTCCTTCCTCAACCATACTGTCACATCATCCAAGTTATACTTTATAAACAGCCTTGATGTGCTACACACATGCAAAAAGTACACAAAGTGGGTAAACTACTTTGCCTTAGAAGTATATATTTAGTAATCACTTAGTTACATTATTTTTTTTGTGAAATGAGAACTGATCAACCAAACCTTTCGAACAGACCCACCAGACGATAAATATCACCATATGTTTGATTCACAGTACATTTGGGCATAAACACTTCAATTACAGCTTTGTGTTTAGTATCAAAAACCTTTTCTTATGTGTTTTCTCGCTACAGATCCCTCGCCTCTGGATTACACTTTGAAAACTGCTTATTACAGATAAAGCACCTTTCCAGGTACGCTTCTGAGAAACAGATGTATTTATGCACACAAAGGTGTGTGCACACCTTTTCACGCACAAATGTCCATAGGATGCCTGTGCCACACTCCCAGCACATGCCCACCACGTGTGTGCAGCTGCGCACCTGGGTCCCGGCATAAACAGGCTGCCCCCAAACACACTGGAGCCCCGCTGGCCTCCTCAGCAAAGTTTTTTGTTTTGTTTTGTTTTGTTTACTTTGAAATAGTTTCATTGGCTCATAAGACCTTTGCATATAAAAAAAATACCCCAGAACACTATGCAGTATTAAATCACAATTACATTTTTTTACCAATTAAAACTACCCAGAATATACATTTTTTAAAGGAAAAAAAAATCCTACAGAACTGAATTCTGAAATGACATTATGATTTAAATACTATGACAAAATAGATAATTCCTTATAACATTAATTCATTGCAAAAAACTGCCAGACACTTCCATATGCATAACCATTGCAGAGTGCAAATGAACACAATTCAACATTACACACTTAGCTGAAGTAGCTGTGCCTCCAATTAAGAAACTCTCAAATTTTTGGCATAAAAAGTTGGGCTGTTTTAACTTTTACCAGGAAACCAACTTAACAATCCATTTACTCTCTTTTTGGACATTCCTATTAAAAAAAGAAGAAGAAGAAAGAAAAGAAAATAACATCCTTCTGCTGTCATAGCTTCAAAAAGTCAGCATCACCTCTGCTTGAAGAAATCCCCTCCTCTCAATTCTTCAGGCAGGTATCCTGGTCCACAGGCTCACTGTACATGGGGTTGTATTTGTAGCCCTTGCCATAGCCCAGGTCCTTCATGAGCCAGGTCGGCGCATTCCTCAGGCAGGACAGGGGAAAGAGGCCCCTGGTGGTTCCGCTGGCAGGCTTTGATGTTGTTGTAGGTGCTGTACACCTCAATAGACTTTGGGGCTCTGGCAAAATAGACTACACACTGGGCCAGAAGCACCTCGCATTCGGGCATGCCTGTGAAGTGACAGCCCTGGTATGCGGCCACTGCTGTGGTAATGCAGATGGGTCTGCCAGACCTATGTCTTCACTGGCAAACCTCACCAGCCTCCTTGCCACATACAGCGGGTCCTCTCCTCCTTCGAGCATGCATGTCAGCCAGTAGAGGGAGGCGCTCGGGCTGAGCCCGCATCAACTTATGAAGAGCAGAAATGCAGTTGTAGTGCTCTTCTCCTGTTCGGTCACATAAAATGTGAGACTTCTGGAGGCCTTCCTTTCACATCATTCTCAGTGATCGGAACTCTACTGGGAGAATAGGCTTGCCCACTCTTCTTACAAAACATCTTCCTGGAGCTTCATCTGGCCAGCACCGCCAGCTACAGTCCATTCACTCCAATTTGTACTCCCCAGCAGAGTTCACAGGCATCACTACACCAGCTGCGCGAACCTCTCCACCCCCATGGGGCCTGGAGCCTGGGGTCGCGAAGCCCACACCCACCCGAGCCGCTCTGCTGGGGGCTCCACGCAGGGTGGGAGTGGGGGCAGGGTGGCCAGTGCCAAGAGGCGCCTCGGAGAGCCAGAGGGTTTTTCTCTATTTTTAAAAGACTGCACCGCACACACCTGGCCCCCAGCGTCACCCAGGCCTGGGCTAGGGGCCTTAGGCGGTTTGAAGACCAGCCACGCCCCCAATCCAGATGGGGGTGGGTTCCCTCATGGTGACTGGTTGATTGGTCGTTTAGGTTGTGATGCCTCTTGGCCTTTTATTATTATGACTGGAGGGCTGGTGCACAAAATTCATACACGGGGGAGAGGGGGTGGTGTTCCCCTCAGCCCAGCCTGCACCCTCTCCAATCCAGGAACCCTCAGGAGATGTCCGACTGCTGGGATTGGGCCTAAACCGGCAGTCGGACATCCCTCTCACAATCCTGGACCATTGGCTCCTAATTGCTCACCTGCCTGGTTGCCCCTAACTGCATCCCCCGCTGGCCTGATTGCCCCTCACTGCCTCTGCATGCTGGCCTGATAGCCCCTAACTGCCCCCCCTGCTGGCCTGGTCACCCCTAACTCCCCCCCCTGCTGGCCAGGTTGCCCCCAATTGCCCCCCTCTGCTGGCCTGGTCACCCCCAACTGCCCCCCATGTCAGCCTGGTCGCCCCCAACTGCACTCCCCCCACCTGCCTGGTGCTCCTAACTGCCCCCGCTGGCCTGGTCACCTCTTTCTGCCCCCCTGCCGGCCTGGTTGCCCCCAACTGCCTCCCTCTGGGGGCCTGGTCGCCCCTAACTGCCCCCCCCGCTGGCCTGGTCACCCCAAACTACCCCCCTTGCCAGCCTGGTCACCCCACACAGCCTGCTTGTTCAGTCATTTGGTTGTCCCTCACTAACCCCTTGTCAGCCTGGTCATAGGCAGCCATCTTTGTGAGGGTGTGAGGGTTAATTTGCATATTACCTCTTTATTATATAGGATTCCCTATGCTGTAGCAATTTGTACTTCTTAATCCCTTCAATTTTTCACCCAGCCCCCTCAGGGTTTTGATATTATTTGATCACAATCTGCAGTGCATGCTAAAATCAGATGATATCTCCTTCTCAGAATCTTCCAAGCCATGCCATCTGACTTTTATTTGTTTTGCTTTTTTTTGGTTTGTTTTTTCCCCCAAGAACTCAGCACACTCATTGATGCTTGTTCAAGTCCCTCAGGTCCTACAGTCTTCATGGTCTCACTTCTTAATCGCTCACCTGCCTGGTTGCTCCTAACTGCCCCCCGCCCAACGCCGGGAAGAAAGCCCACCCAAAGCAATATAAGCTGTAGACAGTGCCCCCAAGACAAAATGCTATGGTCAGTCAGTACAGGATGTTGTTGGTTCCTCTGTCCTTCAAGTGCACCAAGAGGTCATTGTCTACCTGGAGGAGTTTGTTTCTGAGCCACTGGGTTCTCCAAGTAGTTCCAGACAGTTGAGCTGAAGGAGCAAATCAGTGCCTGGAGACCTCCAGGGTAGGGGCTGCAGCTAGAGTCAACTCCCCTTTCCCCTGACTTCTTCAATGACCTTTATCACACTTATCTTAGTCTTATTCCTATTGAGGTTTATCCACCTTCATAAATAGTAAGCAACACAAGAATAGCAACCATGTCACTTTAGTCACTGTATTTTCCCCAAGTACTAGCAAAGGATCTGGCATATTGTACGTTACACGTGTCTGATAATTCAACCTAGAAATTCCATTTCTAGGAATTTATCCTTGGGAAATATTTGTAAAAGTATACAAAGAGATATATGTAAGGAAGTTCATCAAAGAATAATTTATAACCAAAAGTCAGAATACCTAATATAGGCAACAAACCTAAATAATGTTCCTCTATAGGATGACATATTGTGAAATATTAATGATGATGATATCGGTTCATATTAATTAATGAAGGAAAATACCCACAATAAATTGCCAAGTATGATAGGCAGACTAAAAATATACAGAGTGTTGGGAGGAGGCTGACTCTCATATATGAAACACACAGGCTTTGTTATCAGGATCCAGGACATGAATCTAAGCTCTGACAATTATCAACTTGGAGATATTTGTTACTGGAAAGGGGACCTGGCCCTGAATGGATCTGCCTATGGCCAGCCAGTAGTGTGTGGGTTCTTGACTTTGTGCAGGAAAAATTTCACAACATAAGCCCAGGTGAATTTTAGAGGATGTATGTTAGAGCTGGGGATGGTGAAACAAGGAATGGCTGAGGACATGAGCCTAGGCTGGGCTGCTCTGGCTCACTAAGAAGTTAGAGAAGCCCTTAATGGTTTGGCTTAGTGGATAGAACATCGGCCCACGGGCTGAAGGGTCCGGGTTTGATTCCAGTCAAGGGCATGTACCTGGGTTGCACACTGGATCCTAAGCCCTGGTCAGGATACATGCAGGAGGCAACCAATGTATGTTTCTCTTTTGCATGGATGTGTTCTCTCTCTGTGTGTCTCTCCCCCTCCCTTCCACTCTCTCTAACAATCAATGGGAAAGTGTCCTCAGGTGAGGATTAATAAAACAAAAAGTCAGAGGAAAGGGGATCTTGGGGACAGGTTGGGGGGCTGGGGGGAGCAGGGTTACCCGGGATGAATTGCTGCTACCCATTGCTCTCCTGGTTACAATCCTCCTGGGGTCCCTTAGAGTGCAGGAAATGCATGGCTGTGGGGAAAAGGTGGGGGAGGTAAGGGGTGTACTCCTGGGAGGGAGCTGGGACCTTGGTTTTGAGGGCTCGCTGTGTCGAGGAGGTCTTAGGGGAGGATCTCAATAGAATATTCATCAACTCTATGCTTATGTACCAAAATGAGGTTTATTCTCCTAACTTCATCTGTTCTTGGCTATAGTTGGCAAATGGCACTAATTGGATTTCTGCTGTCTGTCTCCCCAAGGACGGTGATTTAAGCTATTTACCCTCTCTCTGGTTGGGAAGAAATGCAAACCATTTATTCTCAAGTGTCCCTGGCTTACGGAAGATAGGATTTACTAGAAGGCCACAAACTGCTTGGCATCTAGATATTCAAGATCAGTGGTTCTCAACCTTCCTAATGCCGCGACCCTTTAATACAGTTCCTCATGTTGTGGTGACCCCCAACCATAAAATTATTTTCGTTGATACTTCATAACTGTAATTTTGCTACTGTTATGAATCGTCATGTAAATATCTGATATGCAGGATGTATTTTCATTGTTACAAATTGAACATAATTAAAGCATAGTGATTAATCACAAAAACAATATGTAATTATATTTGTGTTTTCCGATGGTCTTAGGTGACCCCTGTGAAAGGGTCGTTCGACCCTCAAAGGGGTCGCAACCCACAGGTTGAGAACCGCTGTTCTAGATGGCTACAAACTGTTGTTTAACTATATGTCCCAGTTTCCCTATTCAGCTTTGTCCTGGCTTACTAGCCTGTCTCACTTTGGACATGTTACTTAATTTTCAATGCCTGTTTCTGTCTAAACTATGGGGAGAATAATAACAGTATCTATCTTACAGGGATGTTATTAATGCTAATATAATACATATAAAATACATATAGCCCTGGCCGGGTAGCTCAGTTGGTTAGAGTATTGTCCTGATATGCCAAGCTTTTGAGTTCAATCCCTGGTCAGAGCACATATAAGAATCAACCAAATGAATGCATAAATAAGTAAAACAACAAATCAATCTCTCTCTCTCTAAACTCAATCAATAAAAGTCTTTAAAAGTAAAAATAAATACATATACTTAAAATAGCTTATTATAAGCACTTAATAAAATAAACATTACATGCCCCTTATTCTATTAAAGAAAATATCTTAAATAATATTTAATTTAAAATGTTTATGTTATCTGTACTAATTTTCTTTAGTAACTTTAATACTAGGATACCCATCTCTTTTTGTCTTATAGTAAACTTTTTGAGATTTTCCAAGATTGCTCTTTACAACAAATTTTAAAACTAGGCTTGAGAATGTAATTTTTCTTAATTAATAATATTAGCAAAAAAATGCACAAAAATGAAGAAATGGCGCAAAGCCCCTCTTGCTCTCCATCCCTAGCATCTCCAAGAGATAGCATTTGGCATTATAAAACTCAAGAAATTTTATTTGATAAGGTGTCATACTGAACATAGAAATATTTGACCAAGTTCTTCTGTATAACATGTCTGAATATATCACTACTATCACTTTTTCTCCCGTTATTGTAAATCTGTACTTAGACGTAACTTTGAACCATTAAAAAAAAGTCTCTAATTCTAAAAGGTTATCTTGATAATTTGTTGTCATAAGGTGTAAATTCTTGAAAGACTTTTCATATTAGAGGGGAACCACTGCACTTCCTTTTACTCTATACAGGCATAGAAATATAATAAATTTTATGACTGTACTGGGTTCCTTTTTCAAAGTGTTGGAAAGTCTTTATCTCCTTAAATAATCAATTTTTGTGATTCTATTTTGCAAAGTCAACAGGTACACAGAAAAATATTTGGAAAGACAAACATCAAGATAGTAATATTCATTAACTCTGGATGGTGGGACTATGGGCAATTTAAATGTTCTTTAAAAGTTCTTAGGTCGCCGAAACCGGTTTGGCTCAGTGGATAGAGCGTCGGCCTGCGGACTGAAAGGTCCTAGGTTCGATTCCGGCCAAGGGCATGTACCTGGGTTGCGGGCACATCCCCAGTAGGAGATGTGCAGGAGGCAGCTGATCGATGTTTCTCTCTCATCGATGTTTCTAACTCTCTATCTCTCTCCCTTCCTCTCTGTAAAAAATCAATAAAATATATTTAAAAAAAAAAAAAAAAAAAAGTTCTTAGGTCTTGCCCTGACTGGTTTGACTTGCTTTGGCTTGGTGGATAGAGTGTCGGCCTCCAGACAGAAGGGTCCCAGGTTCGACTCTGGTCAAGGGCACATGCCAGGGTTGTAGGCTCAATCCCCAGTAGGGGCTGTGAAGGAGGCAGCCAATCAATGATTCTCTCTTATCATTGATGTTTCTCTCTTTCCCTCTCCCTTCCTCTCTAAAATTAATAAAAAACATTAAAAAAAAAAGTTCTTAGGTCTCTATATTTTTTCCTTTCTACACTAAACCTGCATTAATTTTATCATCAGAAACAAAAATTAAACTATTTCCATAAAAATAAAATAAAAAACAGAGTTGGGGAGAAATGTTGAGTCTATAGGCCTGTGAAATGAATGGAGTGTGATTTATTTAATAATCTTCAATTGTTAGGCACTAATTTATATAAGATTATCTCAAAGAACATTCTCATATATCATTACTCTGATTCTAGACCAGTGGATCTGAATCTTTCTGGGTCATTTTTGATAATCTCATTAAATTATAAACTTTCTCTCAGAAAAATGGCGCATTAAAAAATATATACAATTTTTTACATACTATTTAGAGGGGTTTCTGGTTCCCTGAAAGCCCCAAACTGATCAAATTATCTCTGGTTAAGAATTCCTGTTCTAGACCATTTGAGCATCTCATTTTTTAAAACTAGAAAGTGCCCAACAAAATTAGCTTGATATTTTAATTTTTCTTGATCTATTGGAGTGGACAGGGAACTGCCCCAAATTATCACATAACAACAAATAGCAAATGTTTATTCCGTACTTATGAAGTATTAGGCACTGTTCTAAGAGTTTTACAAAGAGTTATAAAAAGAAAATTAATGGCAATTATCTGCCAAATGAGTATGTGCATATAGGCACTAGGGAGGGAACATAGGTATCAATTCAATGGACAGGTCATTTAAGAAGGAAGTAAATATTCCCATGTCCTAACAAAAATACAGTTCACAGAACAAGAGGAAATACCCAGGAACCTTGACCTTGAATTTTAAATGGGCAATAGAAATTCATTCCTCCTCCTTCTCCTCAGAGCCCTTTTCTTAGAATTGATAGGACTGGGGAAGTAGGTAATCTTAAAACAGGCTTTTCTTGGATCCCAGCCCAGTCTGGCAAAATCAGGGCAAATCACAACCACACCGGTCCTCACCATCCACACAAATTCAGAGTGAGGTAAGAGGGTGAGTACTGTTGACACTTAGAGAAAGGCCAGGCCAGGGATGGAAACTTCGGAGCAGTGTCCTGGAGGGAACTCCGTGGTTCTGAAACCTGCCGTTGGCCCCCTCAGAGCTGTGTGTGTGTGTGTGTGTGTGTGTGTGTGTGTGTGTCCGCGCGCACGCGCGCTCCTGAGGATGAAGTGCGGTGGGATTACGCCCAGGGTCAGCAGAGTGACACGTTCACTTCCAACAATCTTATCACAAGATCGGGTCTTTTGCTGGAAATCTTTCCACGACTGGGGCCATTTCTCTGCACCTGGGCTGGTGCAGCTAGAGGGCAGAGATTCAGCTGTGACGTTAAGGATCGTAGTCACACAGTCCACGGCCATCTCCGTCACACAAGAACCTTCACCCAATTCAGTCACACCAACACCATCGCCCACTAGTTGCGGACTCACTACTGCACATCGTCCTGGTGCCACACCTGGCCCGCGCCGCCACCCACTCACACACAGCTACGCCACCGCGGTCTCACGCACACTCCGCCAGGCGTGCGGAGCTCCCAACGCTCTGCGGTGAGGCCACGCCTTTGCTATCCCCGCGGGCTGCAGCGCCTTCCCTACGGACGGCCAGAGCTAACGCTCCCGCCAGGACTGCTCACCTGGACTCCGAACCGTTTTCACAGTGATGCCCAGGGAGGCGAGCGCGGGGCAGCCCGAGGCCTAAGGGGCCGCACGCAGGGGTTGCTGGGATCTTCGGCTCAGCACTAAATGCGCAGGCGTGGCCAACCCCAGAAGGTGGAGCTTCAGTCCCGCCCTTGGGTTAAGTGAGCCGAGATCCCCTCGCGCCCCAGCAAGGGTGGGGGTCCTGGATCTTTCCTAAGTTGCCGCAGGCTCCTTAAAGGGGGGTAGCGCGTAGTGGGGCCAGCGGGGGCGTTCTGTGAGTGACCAAGCCGGCGCTGTGTGTCTGTCTTTGCGGTGATTCTGGGTGCGACTTTTTTCCACAGATGTAGCTGGTGTGTGTTTGAGAGGTTGCGATGGCGGGATGGGAATGTGGTTTGTGAAGATTTTATGACTGTGTGTGGGGCTGTGTAGAACAGAATGCTGGGGTGGGGGCAGGAGGGCCTCTGAGATAATGGGATTGAGTACAGGGGATTGTGTTTTGGTGAACCTGTAATTGATTCTGAACATTCATGTAGCGTGGTTTCGATAGATTTGTTTTCCTCTGCAGACCATGGTGTGAGTCTGAGAAACAGCCCACCTGATTGTGCGGTGAGTATATGCGCTTCTGATGTAATCTTGCAGAACTGTGGCAGGATGGCTATCTGGGTGATGGATGTGACCCAGAGCCTCACTCTCCACAAATAGAGAAAAGAATGTTGCATCTAGAAGCATAAACTTTACTGATGGATTTAGTGGGGAGGGGAAAAAACCTGATATTTCTGGATAATTATGTATTTGTTTTACATTTAATCACAGATTCATTATGGGGAAGAATGTGAATAAGCATAACTTTAAAAATAAGTTTTCAAAGGTAATTCCTGTTATGCAGCAATTGATTTTCTTCTGCCCCAGATTCCCATGAGTGGGTGTTCCCTCTTAGTATTAAGGGGATTTTGTTGGGAAGATTTAAGACGCCCTAGACTAAGTTTTGGGGTTTTTAAAATCTATATATATAAAAGCCTAATATGCTAATTATTCCTCCCACCTTCTACCCTCTGCCAGTTACTATGATGTTCACTGACCCACCAGGGGGCAGACGCTCCAACAGTAGGCAGATCAGGATTGGGTGAGGCAGACCAGACATGCCCTGGAGCCCTCCCATTGTCCCTCCTGTTAGAAATGCTCTCAATGATGTCGTAGGAATGAGACAAACACTCGAAACTGAATGGGCAAGGCAAATTTACTTTTGTGCAGAAGGGTGCTCCTGCCTGCAAATCACGGGCAAAAGCACACTGAATGGGAAGTCTGTTCTGGTTTTATTTCCTGACTCGGGGTCTGCCCTGCTCCTCACTCTGAACTCTGACCTGATTGGTCAGGGTTCAGAGCTCAGATTCCCATTATTATGCGATTGGCTAATTCAGAGCAAGGGGAAGGTAAGGCAAAGCCTAAGATGGTGGCCCCCTGAGAGCCTGAAGGTCATGTCAAAATCGAAGAACCTAAGATGGCAGCCCCCTGAAAGAATCTGAAGGTCATATCAAAATGGCAGGACCTAAGATGGCAGTGAGCTCCTTTCTTTGACAGAAAGATCCCTGGTTCACTCTCACATTCCCCAGCACCCAGTGGGATCCCTCGGCCTGGCCTGCGCCCTCTCGCAACCCGGGACCCCTCAGGGGATGTTGGGGAGCTGGTTTTGGCCAGATCCCGCAGGCCAGGCCAAGGGACCCCACCAGTACACGGATTCTAGTATTTTATAAAGTTGTTGTAAACACTGAATTAGTGAGCCGTTGCTCTTAGGGAAACAGAGTTAGTTTCCTGCAAGCATCTAGTCACAACATTTTCATCAATACATAACCTGTTTTATGTGTTTCTTTTTACACACTCTTCTCATAGATTTTTTTTATTTCTTTAACATTGAACTCACGACCAACAGCACTATAACTCATGCCTGAATGAAGCTTACCTAACATATTTTCTCTGTAAGGCACATTACAGCCTTCTTGTGCTTAGGAGCACTAGACATCACTTTAACTCTATGCTTGGGGGCATTTTAAACAGCAGGATCACCAATAAAAGGCACAAAAGTGAGAAAACATGGTACTAAATAGACTGTGAAAAAAGACAGTTGTTTATAGTATAAGAGCCTAAATAAGGCAGAGGGTTGCCTTGAGTTCAGCTGAGAAATGTGAGTCAGGGGACTCATTTTTTTATCACTCCATGAATGACCACAAAAGTGCTGTGAATATTGACTTTGAGATTACAAATAAATGTTAGCAAGTGGGTAAGTCTATAAATATGAAAATCCACAAATTATGAGGTTTGACTCTATATATTATCTGGTCCTTTACAGAAAAAGTTTGCCAGGCCCTATTTTAGAGTAGATCCCTTCTAATTATACAATTAGAGTGTTTAAAAACTACTTGAAACAATTATTTTCCCTCTGTCATCAATAATTTATGAAATTGATTATAACCCATTAAGTAAATAAAAATCCATAAACAAGAGAAAAGGGAGTAAAAAAGGAAAGCTCTTTTTTATGGAATGCCAGCTATTTAGTTTGATTTTACATGACTTTGTGAACTCTGCTTCAAATACACTTAGTATATTTTGTTTTGATGAGGACGTTGTACAGTATGGTGTTTTCCTTTAAGTTCAGTGTCATTTCTATCATCTCTCATGCCAACTATCACCTAGAGTTCAGTAAGAGTGACATTGCTAGAATGGCTATATTTTCATGGCATGAAGGCTAGCCATGGTACAATAAAATAACACAATTTATCAGGCAATACTGAGTTTTCTTTGAAGTCAGTCTCCATCTGATTTCTTTCAGAGTTTCATGTTTGACTTGCCTGCTAATGACCAGCTCTTCTGCTTCTTTCTAAATTCTTGACACTCACAGTGCCACCCTCATTGGTGGAAACAAGGTGCCTGGGAAATAGCTTTTCCAAACCTGGTCAATAGCTGGGCAAATGAATTCTAATTATGGAAGCAGTGCTGGTAGCTTGTGTGCATCCGCAAGTGCATTACTACTGAAGTGCTGGCTTAAGTCTGTGTGGTTGCTGGGTCCCTGTTCAGGAAGGGAGGGTGCTGCTGCATTGGTCATTCCTTAGATATAGATTGCCTGGACTAAACCTCATATTTACTTATTAAAGGGTTCTGCACCCAATTCCCATACTCTTTGGGGAGCAGGGTTTCTACTCACCAACAAGCAATTCTAGCTTGTTATCCTACAATTTAATTCAATTCTAACACTATCTACCTGGAGATAGTGTCAAATCCCACAGGTTAAGGGCTCAGTCCTATAAGAATGCCCCCACCCAACGCACACACTTCACATGCCAGTTGCTGTGCTTTTGACCAACCAAGTGTAGATTGGAGGTTCCAACAAATGCCTCTCTGGTTTTGATTAATTTGCTAGAGCGGGTCACATAATTCACAGAAACATTTGTTAAAAAGAAACAATAGCCCTGGCCAGGGTGACTCCATTGGTTGGAGTGTCATCCCACACACTGAAGGGTTGTGGTTCAATTCCCGGTCAGGGCACATATCCAGGTTGTGGGTTTGATCCCTGGTCAGGGCGTGTACAGGAGGCAACCAATTGATGCTTCTTCTCTGTCCCTCTCCCTTCCTCTCTAACATCAAAAAAATAATATTTTTTATTGATTTCAAAGAGGAAGGGAGAGGGAGAGAGGTAGAAGCATGAATGATGAGAGAGAATCATTGATAGGCTGCCTCCTGCGTGCTCCCTACTGGGGATCCAGCCTGCAACCTGGGCATGTGCCCCTGACCAGAATCAAACCCAGGACTCTTCAGTCTGCAGGCCGGGGCTCTATCCACTGAGCAAAACCAGTTAGGGCAATAAAGTAACATGTTTTTTAAAAGGTGGCTTGTGGGCTTTGGAGGAACAAGAGTGAGGAAGGAAGAAAGGAAGAGAGGAAAGGAGAGAAAGAGAAAGGAAGAGAGAAAGAGGGGGAGGGAGGGAGAGAGGGAGGGAGAGAAAAAAAAAAGGATTAGAGCATTGGGCCATGCACTGGAGGGTCACTGGTTTGATTCCTGGCCAAAGGCATGTACCTGGGTTGTGGATTTGATCTCTGGTCCGGTCGGGGCATGTATGGGAAGCAAACAATCAATGAACTGATGTTTCTTTCTGCTCCCTCTTCCCCCCTCCCATCTTCTCTCCCACTCTCCCTAAAACCCAATGGAAAAAGTATCCTCATGTGAGGATTAACAGCAACAACAAAAAGAAACAACAGGACCTTGGCCAATTTGGCTTAGTTGGTTGAGACTCATCCCATGCATCAAAAGGTTGATGTTTTTGGCCCTCACCAATTTTGCTCAGTAGTTAGAGTATCAGCCTGTGGATCCAAGGGTCCCTGTACCATTCCCGGTAAAGAGCATGTACCTCGGTTGCAGGCTCCATCCCTGGCCTGGGTCAGGGTGTGTTTGGGAGGCAACATCAATGTTTCTCTCTCTCTCTTTCTCTCTCTCTTTCTCCCTCACTCCCTCCTTTACACTTTCTCTCTTAAAAAAAAAAAAAATCAATGGAAAAATATCCTTGGGTGAGGATCTAAAAAAAAAGGTCTATGGTTTTTATTCCTGGTCAGAGCATATACCCGGATTGCAAGCTCCATGTTCTACATTAAAATTACAGTGACTGGAGAATGAGAGAGAGAACAGTTAGTCATGTTCTGTGGAACCCCAGAACTCTAGGAGCCCTGACTTATTTACACACTAGAGGCCCAGTGCACAAAATTTGTGCACTGTGGGGGCAGGGGGTTCCTTAGTCCTGCCTGTGCCCTCTCACAGTCTGGGAGCCCCGCAATCAATTGCCCCTAAGAGGTAGATCCTGCCCACCTGCCACATCACCGCTGCGGGGTAGCCTGGGTCTCCCTCTTTGGGGCAGTTATGGAGCCCCCACCCCCGATTGATTACCCCACTGGCCAGTGGTCTAGGACTCCCTCTGCAGGGCAATCATGCACCCCGCAGAGGGAGGCCCCACCCACCCGCCGCAGCCCACCAGTCAGTGGCCTGGGCTTCCCTCTTTGGGGCAATCGTGGAGCCCCCAGATTGATCGATTGCCCCACCGGCCAGTGGCCTGGGCCTCCCTCTGCAAGGCAG